GATTAAAAAAAGTTAAAGTATTACAGCGACTGAGAGAGCACTAAAATACGTTAGTCAAATCAAGCAGGAAAAAGCTCTGTCTTTTGTTATTGCACGCCCTTTCTTTCTCCTACACGACACCTGGACTTCATGTGACTGCTATCTTCTGGCTATCCTAGGAAATGTTTGCTCTAACAGTTTAGTATAAGTCATCTTAAGAGTTGAACATAAAGATAAAGAAGACGGTATTGTGAAAGGGAAACAAATCATGAACACTTTAAGCTGCTTTTTGAATTTCTTGAAGGGATATCTTGCAGCATAAAAAATGGCCATCTGCTCCTCTAAGACAAAACACAAAAGGTGAGCAAACACATTTGGACTCAAAAGGTGGGTCAAGAGATATGTGTCAGGGTTTGCCAAGGACTTCTTCTATCAAACCTTTGAAAAAATTTTGTCAGAGATTAGGACGTGAACAAAAGAAATAACATCAGTGTGAAAGGTGAGCTGTCAAGGCAGAGATTTAGTGGCTGACGAGACGTGAGGGAGATACATCTTGCCATGTCTAGAAGGGTATCTGTCACGTAGGACCTTGGCGACATGTGAGTGCCCGCCAGATGACTTAGTCTATCACTAAGTCAATATCTGGCCAAACAGAAGAGCTAGCATTCTTTTCGCCTCTTTCCACACATTGTTGGATGAATGATACTGATATGGAAAATCACCTCACTGAAAGTAAACAGACAAAGAAAGGAGGACAGTGAGATAGAAGTTTGCCTGGTAACAAAGTCATCCCAAGGGCCACTGCTCAAACACATAGACATAACTGCAGGGCTGACATGGACTCCACAATATATGTTGCTGTGTGTGAAAACACTTAAGATGACCTTGTTAAAAATGTTCTACATCAACATATTAACAAGATATTTGATTAGGTATTTGAAATGAAAATGCTAGAACTACGAAACTTCTAGTTTAGCATCCTATAAACTGTTGATCATTGTTAAAGAAATGATTCCATCTTTCCACAGTTGGTAAACAGCCTTAATCAAAGTAATTGGTGAGATTAAAACATGTAATAAGAAGGGGAGTGGTGGCACAGAGGTTAAAGAAGGTAGGCCTGTAACCAAAAGGTCGCCGATTCAACCCCTCAGACTGACAATAGCAAAAAGTGGGTGGGAAAGGTGAAACACCCGCACCTGCCTCCACCCTCATTTGCCCCACTTTGAGCCATTGAGCAAGGCCCTTAACCCCCACCATCTGCTTTCCTGGGCACCCTAGATGAGAGTTCCCTCCTCCACACAGAGGTCTGTGGTAGCTTGTTGGTCTCGGTGGCAAAGGGCATCCAGAGTAAAAACAATTACAAAGTCTTTGTGCGAGTTAGTTTGCTGTGGCAACCTCTGAAGAAGGGAGCAGCCGAAAGAAAAAAGCAAGGTGGTAAAAATGCAAGATAGAGCTAAAAAGACAATGCTAATAGGAAGAGTTCAAAAAGCTATGATTCAGAAGTGCAAAGATACACCCAAAGTTCACCCTGCAGTCATAAATACAGTTATCATTTAATAAAAGGCTTGGCAACACTGTTGCTTTAATGAATGCTCAGACAACATAGAGGCTTGAATTTTCTTGCTTATTCCATGAAATAAAAGTCACATTTGTTATCTTTATTTGTTTGGGTAATATTGACATTGCTGTTGAAAATTTCAGGTATTGTTTTGTTTCACATCTATCAAAGATACAAAGATCTCTTCCACTAAACCAAATTTTGTCACGTGAATAGTCAAGGGAGGTCAGATCAGTGAGTCCACTGAGTGTCAATCAGTGAACTACAAATACCTCCAGCAACTGTTTGGTGACATGCCTCTATCAATAGACAAGTCAAACCAATCTACCAGCCAGATAATAACAGCAGTCACTTCGACACTAAGATCCATATTTGGTACTCTCTATGGGCCGTGCCTCTCCTGGCTTGCTCTGGCCTCCAATCCTGAGGGGTTAGTAGTCCTGCACACACACCCAAAGATGCACATACACATGGTAGACTGGGGGCCTGGCGTTCTATCATGTTGTGCTAAAGGGGGCATAATGGTTTTTAAATGGATGACTCAGTGCAAGCCCAGAGAGGGTGTCTGAGACAGAAGAGAATGGCCATGGCCTGCAGCAAAGCAGCTCTCAGATTGAGCTGTCCGTCTTGCTAAAATGAGCCTGAGTTAACACCTCTGCCAGATCCCTAAGCCCCAGGACAGACAATAGTCGACTTCCTCTCTGCCTTTCTCCTTCTTCTTTCTCTGTCACTCCTACTCTTTCACACTCTCTTTCTATTATTCACCATTTTTCTTCACCTATCTCCACTTCCATTTAGATATCCAGAAAGCCTTAAAACATCCACCATGTGATTGTTGAGCTTTTTGAGCTCTTTGGTAGACAGTGGCGCTAAGAAAACCAACAGAAGTTATCACAAGTGAAAAAGAATGCACAAACACAGCGTTCTTAAAGTGATTTTTTTTACAACAATTGAATGTGATTTGGAAAAATTATCTAAGTGCATCTTTACTTTGTGTCTCTTTGGAAATAAAGGACTACGTGCATGAGAAATGAGTGCTGCTTTTCGGATTACAAAGAAGCACAGTTTCAATAATTTTTCAATGAAATTGCTAATTTGAACATTCAGTTCTAATCATTTTGCTCCAAGATCAGCTAAGTTGACAAAGACAAGGTCCTTGTTTAGATACAGGGATACTTAAACCTTAGCGACCCCAGACTACCTTATTTATTGTCTCTCATAACACATCCCTCCACTTTGGCAAGAGGTGAATTACACACAGAATTTTCACAAATAGTAACAGGCTTTAAAAGCTTCTAATGTGGTTGAAATGGTTGCACTCTCACTGTTTTTTTCTTAACTTCTGTCTTTCCCTCATCTGTCTATTAGTTTAAGAGCAGATGCTGTAGATGAGTAGAGGAGCTGATGGTGAAAGGGGAGAGAAAAGGGGTTTTAGGAGACTCCTTAGGGAGTCTTTTGATGACTATCAGCATTCGGACTGTTATGACTATGGGTGATAAGCGTCTGGGAGAGAAGAGCCTCTGGTTTCTAGCCCAAACCCAGACAGAATATATATATATATATATATATATATATATATATATATATATACATATGCCTCACTGGGATAATATGAGTAGATGGATCCATCCATCCATCCATCCATTATCTTTACCCGCTTATTCCATTTTGGGTCACGGGGGTCGCTGGTGCCCATGTCCAGCAATCACTGTGCGAGGGGCGGGGTACACCCTGGACAGGTCGCAAGTCCATCACAGGGCCACATAGAGACAAACGAGACAAACAACCATTCACTCTCCCACTCAAACCTAGGGACAATTTAGAGTTACCAATCAGCCTAACATGCATGTTTTTGGTCTGTGGGAGGAAACCGGAGTACCCGGAGAAAACCCACGCATGCACGGAGAGAACATGCAAACTCCACCCAGAAAGGCCCCTGGACTGGGGTTTGAACCAGGGACCTTCTCGCTGAGAGGCAGCAGCTCTACCAGTTGCACCACCGTGCTGCCCAGTAGATGGATCTTTGATGCCAAAAGTGATTTTTTTCCTGCAGACTAAATATCTAAGCCTGAGCTAATAAAAAAATGTAAATTGTTGGATGTTTAGAGAAAAATGGACAGGAGAAAGAAAACTGAGAAAACATTAAAACTTTGGACAGGTTGTAGCCTTTGGAGAGAAGTTCCATTCACCCAAAAGGCCTTAAAAAAATAAAATGTTCCACCTGGCATGCTGCCACTTAGCATGCGCCTGTGTGATTTAATTGCCTGCATACTTCTACAGCTGCTGGGATAAAAACTATATAAAAAGAACTGAAACTATAACAAAAACCCTCTTAGATATTTTTAATCATGTTCGTGAACACAAGAGATTTAGTTTTTTTTTTTTAAAAACTAAATCACTAAAATCATGTAATAAATTCTAGCAGCAGAAACGGTTTCATTTTAGTTTTATTATTTCACAGACCCAATGAAGAGGAAGCATTAGAAAGAAACTTTGACATTTAGATTAACATAAATCAAATTTCCTTTTATTGTCACATTTTTGCCCATATTAGAGTTAGGGTACAATTTACAGTACTTTGTTATGCAATTTATTTAAACTCCACAACTAAATAACCTGTTCCACAAAACTGCATCAAGCAATATCCTGATGCATGCTCAATATTGCATCAAGCGATGCTAAGAAGTGTCTTGAATATTAAACTTTCTTGTGCACATCAACTTTTGGAGTCAAAATCAAGTGTGTTATATTCTGTCAAGGACTATGTTGAATTGATGAAGCTCTCCTAGATTCTGTTTCTTACCACTTACAAATGCAATATATGACTATGCAAATGACCAGCCTCCTAAAACTAAAAAGTCCAGGAGTCAGTGAAATGAAAAGCAGGCCGGGAGATTTCATCTCTGATTAAGCACAAGAGAACAAGAGACAGAGACCAGGAGCTCCCCCCCTACTAATGAGGTTACTGAAGCAACTTCAATATTCTTTAATGTCATGTTGAAATGAAAATTAATAGTTCAATATGCCGCCATCGCACTGGGCCACGCTTCTTCCATTTCCATATCAGATGGCGTGACCAAATGAGTGTGCTTGCTTCAGACCAACGCCCATAAAAGCTGATACCTCCACTAATCAGCCAGATTTTTCCATCTGACATTGCTGTGCGGATGTGAATTAGCGTACTGTGTGTGTCTATATGTGTGTGTGTAAGTGTGTGGGTGTGCAAGGGTCAGAGATGAGGTCAAATCATAAAAGGGGATGTGAATAGGATGATGAGATATATGCTCCTGAGCATCAAGAGTGACGGCTGAAAATGTGAATGAAGAGCTGGTTGTGTATTCAGCCGCTCTCTTCAGTCCTTCACTTCATGCCTTGTTGCGTTTGTGCCACAAAATATGAAAAACTGATGCACAATATGAACTGCAATGTAAATTAAAAACAAATAATCCAGACTGGCGCCTACCTCCCATCCAAAGGAGTTGTCTTTGCCTGTGGGCCCATGATGCTTGGCATTGTGCAGACCGAACCTCTCGCCAGTACAAATACGGGTTTTAGCCCATATGCCGAGGCCAGCACCGGGCACGGAGGACTCCCGCAGTTCCAGTTCATTGGGAATAGGAATGTCATCAGGAATGTAGACGGGCGCCTCATAGGGTGAGCCTTCCTTGGGTGTGGTGAAGTCCTGGTCATTGCTGCTGCTGCTGTTGTGGAGGTGATGAGATGTGTAGAGGTGGGGGTGCAGCAGGTGGTGGTGGTGGTGGTTGTTTTGATGGGATGGAGTCGGTGAGGGTAAAGGGGACATGCTGATGATGCCATCCTCTGCGTCGTCTTCTGGGCTGTCAGGACCCCCTCTGCTGCCTGCTGCTACACCCGCGAGGTCGGCTTCTGGGTCATACATGTTGTCCACGAGCTCACTGTCATCTGAAACATGAATAAAAATAAAATTATTAAATGTCTGGTAAAACAACATAAATATATATTTGTTAAAAATCATATAGATTTTAACATTTCACGTAGGGAAAGTGTTTTTTTGACGAGTCAATGTATACAGAACAACCCATGAACTAAACTTTTTAAAAGGTTTACTTTACGTTGACTTTAGTTCATCCTGCAGATTTAACCAGACAAACTATTTTTACCTGCAGTCTTGGAAATGCTGGTTGTGCAAAGGTAAGCAATAACATTCACAAAAACAAATGACCAAAATGCTTAATAAGCAATAATCTACTGGATCTAGGAAAAAGGAAGTAATCAAAAATAGAAGAGAGAAAAAAAGCAAAAAGAAGAGAAGAAAAGAAGAATTAAATTAAGCATAATGGCTCATTATGTTAGAAAACTTTAGAGAACAAAATGTGACACATAATAGTACATTTGGTTGTGTTTTACTAATATGAGCTGTTCTAAAAGAATAAAACTGACTAGTCAAAGATTTTCTCCTGTATGAGCTTTTCCAATTCCCTCTTGGTTATATCTGTCATGAACAAAGGTTTCAATTTTATTTAGTGAAATTCATAAAATAATGATGTTTATTCTAACAAGGAAAAAATACATCATTTTCAATTTGATGAATCAAAAGGATTTATTCTTTACTTGTTGGACAACTGCACTATGCAGTAAACAAATGTAATATTAAAGAAATACCTATGAGCCTTTCAGAAAGAAAATGGACTTATTGATGTTGCAGAGAACATCCAGGAGTGCAAAGAAAATATGCAATAACTTGAAAAAGTGTTTGATGGGACCAGTTCGTTCCATCATGGCCCCGTTGTCCTGCCAAAACTCATCTGACGATAAGGATTCTATCTATTACTGCTTTGGTCAGTCTCATACCCTCATATTATCCACACAGCCAAGAATTGACAACATGATTGTGCATGCACCCAGGGATCATACCAGTGAAAATGATGATGAGCTTTATGTGTGCATGGATGCACTTAACATTTGTCTCTACGTTCCAGCCTCTTTTTCTCTGCGTGTTATTAAGGAAATTACAGCAGACAGAGAAAGTTTGTAAGTGTGCATGTGCAAATGCATTTAGGTGAGTGATATGTGACATCTGGCGCATTAGTGCCTTCCCATTACTTCCATGTGAATGTGAGGGCTGAAATTATTTCTTGGTGTTCATTCTTAAACTGAATCAACGTGAGTGTGTTAAACTTTTTATTTCAAGGCCTTGTAAAAAAAAAAAAAGGACAATTATACTATCTACAGAACATATGCAGAAATAATTAACCATGATAACACCAGCTTGATGATGTAATATACAATGAAGTCAGAACTTAATATGCTTTTTCGTTATTACCAGAAAATTATAAAGAATATATGATCCAAATATGTCTACATTTGTTTAGTTGCTCGAGAATATCAGCTTGACTTCCCTTTTTTTAAATTTTTGACAGACTCTGGTGTCTTTAATCAAATTAAGACAATACATTCACTATCCATCCATCCATCCATCCATCCATCCATCCATCCATCCATCCATCAATCTATCCTTCCTTCCATCCTTCCTTCCATCCTTCCTTCCATCCTTCCTTCCATCCTTCCATCCATCCACCAACCTACCCATCCATCCATCCACCAATCCATCCATCCATCCATCCATCCATCATCCATCCATCCATCCATCCATCCATCCTTCCACCTACCCATCCATCCATCCATCCATCCATCCATCCATCCATCCTTCCTTCCATCCTTCCATCCATCCACCAACCTACCCATCCATCCACCAATCCATCCATCCACGAATCCATCCATCCATCCATCCATCCATCCATCCATCCATCCATCCTTCCTTCCATCATCCATCAATCCATCCACCTACCCATCCATCCATCCATCCATCCATCCATCCATCCATCCATCCATCCATCCATCCATCTGTCTTCTTTACCTGCTTATTCTTTCTGAGTTGCTGGTGTCTTATCATCAGCAGTCACTTTGAAAGATGTGATGTACACCCTGGACAGTTTGCTTGTCCATCACAGAGACACATAAAGACAAACATCCAGCCACACTCCCACCCTCACTTACATAATTATATAATCATTTAGAGATACCAATGACATGTAACACCTAACATGCATGTTTTTGATCTGTGAGAGGAAACCAGAGTACCTGAATAAAACCTATACATGCACATAGTGCAAACTCCACCCACAAAGACCTCAGGCTTGGAGGCAATCTGGCGACCTTCTCGCTGAGAGACGACAGCTCTAACCACTGCCTCACCGTGCCGTCTCTCTAAACACAAGCACTGGTAAACAGCAAGCCAACTACTAAATTCCAGCATTAGTAGTTTGAATCAAACCTTCTCTCTCCTAGACTTCATATCATCTGCTGTCAACCCTGGTGATGCTCCAGTGTTGACCGATCACGCAACATGACACGGTGAAAATGTACATGTAAGAGTCTTGATGTTTATTTTATAGTAATGCAAGTTTTGACCTAAAACATTTACTGACTTTTAGAATAAAAGAAACAAAAAAGAAGCATCTGATGAAACACCAGTTAAGGTATCTAATAAAGTTAAAAGTCAGGTCCTTTGGACAGATTCTTCTTGCTGAACTGTTGCGTCTTTTATCCAAAAGATTTGTCAGTCAGAGGAAGAACGTTTAACATTTCAACAAAAAGAATCCGTCCAAAAGACCTGCGCTGGATTTTTCAACCTGGATTATTGAGCATGCATCAGGATACCAGTTAAGATAGTTGTCTCTGTTTGAGTTAATTTATTCTGTAACATAAATTTTTAATGCATGCAAAGATAAAAGAGTCAGGGGGAAGTTGAATGAACTAATCCAAAAAGAAAAAAGTAGTCCAGGACAATGTGAAAGAAAAGTAACTGTTCAATTTATCAACAAAGTTCAGTCAGGTCATCTGGACTTTTTATTTATTTATTTATTTGTTTTTGTTGAGACGTTTCATCCTTCAACCAAAAGGACTTCATTAAACTCAACAAAAAACAAAACCATCCAGATGACCTGACTGAACTTTGTTGGATTTTTCACCTGGATTATTGAACATGAACTTTTTTGATGTTTTCAACCACTTTGGCTACAGGGGAGAAGGCATGCCCCAGAAACTATCCTATCACCAACAAACTGGTTGGTCCATTATGTGAGGGTGCTGCTTGTGGGACTGAGTTTGTTTGTGGCTCCTCAGACTGATGAAGTCCTTTGGATGAAGGGCAAAACATCTCAACAAAAAAAGAAACCATCCAGATGACCTGACTGAACTTTGTTGGATTTTTTTACTTGGATTATTGAGCAAGAACTTTGATGTTCAACTTGTCTTCTTACTTTCTGTGATAAATATGAAATATCTTATATATGAATGACTTTATCAATATTTTTGTTTATTGCATGCTATAACCTGGTGGAGCTGTTACCTGACAAGTAAGTTTCAAATGTGAAACATGAAACCATACAGGCATGTGACATCGTTTTGTAGAGGCTGGCAAACCTGCAGTGAGTCCGGGTAGATTCGGGAAATTTATCATATAAAGCTAAGGCAGTAAATTTTATGACAGATTTTTGCGTCATTTAGTAATTTTAAATGGAAAAGAACGCTTTTTTTAAATGATTGCAGTTTCATAGGGGTTCAGACCAGGCATGCAATTAAGCATTGGAACAAGTGAGCCAGCAGTAGCTTCAACTCTTTACGCAGATCAATTAAAGTTTTATAACTTCGCCCTATCTTCTGCTCCCTCCACACAATCAAGTGTTCTCAGGCTGTTAAACACTTCTTTCACTCCCTCTCCTTCTCTTCATTCTCTGACTCTCACTGGCACTTGACCCATTGAGAGCAATTTTGACAAGCAGAGACAGGCTTGGAAAATCTATTAAATGCTATGGCTTTTAGGGCCTCTGTGCACGCGCACAGACACACAGACACACACACACACATTATGCAGACAATTTTAAACAACAAATTGTTGCAAGAAGAAAAATTAAGCAGTGGATTCTAATTTAAATCAACAAAATATTGACTGAGTGACATAAAAGTAAAAAAAAATACATATAGAAATTATGATTTCAATATTTTAGTCATAAACTGTTTTAATTCCTACAACTTTTTTGTTAAATTACAACACACTAGAGAGTGTTTCTTTGTTCAAGTGATAAATAAACGTGGAAATTAGTCTGTGAAAAAACAGAATCAGGAACAAGATGATGAAAAAAGGCAGAGAGTGAAACCTCTGATGACAGAGCAGTTTCTAAAAAGCTTTGTGTTAGTTCTGCGTCTCGGAAGACCCAGAAAGAGATGTCGGGTTCGCCTCCCAGTGGGCTTCTTAAAAAACACCCAGGCCAGATAGTGTTTTCCTCTCCCTGGCTCCCCATGTTGTTCTTTCTCTCACTCTCTGTTTGTCTGGCTATCTCTTTCTTTTTTTACGAGGAGCTATTTATCCTGATTACATCAGGGGTCAATCATTAATTCGCACCTTGGGGGTCCCAATCCTGGCTGCAGCTACAATGGGCTGCTTGTTCAGCGGCTGTTATTCCAGTGGAAAACTACTCTGCTCTGCCTGAGAGGCAGGCACAGGCCACATGAAGGCATCCCATTTATTTGATAAATTGTAAATGCGTGCCATAAATGGAGCTCTTGCTTTGTAGCATCGCTTGCAATAACAAAGATTTTTGGGGCACACGTGAGCACAGATGCGGGTTTTCACACAAACACACATCTGTTTGTAACTGAGGGAGCTGTTCCTGTACTCCAAACACATGTGCATTGGATCAGATGGTGATAAAGGTAATGATGATGTCTCATATTGACTGTGTGTCACAGGGAAATAAGACATGTGGCATTCAAACCTAAAAATTAAAGTACATTTCCAACAATATGATTTTGTTTTGAAGCATAAACAACAAAAGCAAAAGCCTTGAAAAATAATCTATCCCGGGTTTTTTTGTC